AATCATGTCATTACCAAAATAATATGTATTATCAATTTATCACAATAGTAAATACAACTTTCAAAGTCTGTAGGACATAAGTTGAACATATAATTAGTCTTTATAGAACAAAGCGAAGGCTATTAATTCCATGCATTGCGATCCTTAAAATAATCATCAACTTTATAATAGCCTTTACTCACAAGTATATTCTTTACATGAATTTGAAATTTATTTATGGGTAGGTCAATTACATTTTGTGGAACTTTATTGAACATAGCAATACATTTACCCAGAAATGATCCTCTGGTTTTTTGAAGTCTGAAGCTTGGAACGGCAAGTTTATCTTTATTTCTTGTGTTAAGATTATGAACACTACTTTTTTTTGTGAAGGAATCGTAATGTTTTCTTGTATACATAATATTCTCATAGATGTATTGAGAGGCAACAGTCAGAATATTTATTTCTTTAAATATTTCTCTTAGAGATTCCCTAGACCGTAAATTATATATAGCACGGACAGCTCTCTTTTGTAAAATAAAAACATCCTGAATGCTAGCCGCAGAACCCCATAACAATATACCATACGTCATTACACTATGAAAATAACTAAAATATACCAATCTTGCCGTTTCAACATTTGTCAAGAGTCTAATTTTCTTAACAGCAAAAGCTGCAGAACTCAGTCTACTTGACAAGCTATCAATATGAGGATCCCATTGCAGTCGGGAATCTAGTGTAATACCAAGGAACTTTGTCGATTCTACTAACTCAACTTTTTCACTATTTACATTTATAAGTGTACTGACATGCCTCACATTAGGTAATGCAAACTTTATGCATTTCGTTTTATTTGAATTGAGCTTTAAATTATTATTATCAAACCACTGTAGAACGTTGTCGAGAGCATTATTTACATCGTCAAAACAATCATTACCCCTCTCAACTTTAAACAGTAAAGAGGTGTCATCTGCAAATAATACTGTCTCGCACAAATTCTTCGTAAAGTGAGGAAGATCATTTATATAAATTAGAAAAAGCAATGGTCCTAATATCGATCCCTGAGGTACGCCCATAGTAACTGGTGCCCCTGCAGATTTCGCTTCATTGATTACTACCTTTTGTATTCTAGCAGAAAGATATGATCTTATTAGATGAAGTGAATTTTTCGTCACACCATAATGTTCTAATTTCCCCAACAGTGTTTCATGACTAACGCAGTCGAATGCTTTTGATAGATCACAAAAAATGCCAATAGCATCTTGTTTATTCTCCCAAGCATCATAGATATGCCTCAGAAGTGCAATTCCAGCGTCTGTTGTACATTTACCTCTTCTAAAGCCAAACTGATTTTGGTGAAGTAATTTATTTAATGAAAAGTGTGCAAGCAGTTGATTGTACATCATTTTCTCAAATACTTTACTTAATGCTGGTAGAATAGAAATTGGTCTGAAATTACTAGGATCAGACTTGTCGCCTGCCTTGAAAAGTGGGATTATTTTACCATATTTCATTAAATCAGGAAAAGTTCCTTCATCAATGCACTTATTAAAAATAAAAGTTAATTGAGGTGCTATAGCTGGTATTATAGATTTGATAACATAAGTTGAAACGCCCCAAAGATCTTCGGTTTTTTTGACATTAATACAATTAAATGTTTTAATAATTGAGCAGACGTTAACGTGTCTAAAATAAAATTCAGTATTGCACTTATCAACAACTGACTCTAGATGCGTAACCGCAAGTTTAGAACATGAACTAAGATTTCTTGTGATTTCTATTGGTGTCTTAGAAAAGAATTTCTCAAATGTCTCGGCAACCGCTTCATCTGTTTTAATAATTTTATTGTCAACCTCTAATGAGTATGTGCGCATATTACTTTTATTTTTTCCCGTTTCTTGATTTATGATAGTCCAGGTTGTTTTTATTTTATTTTCTGAATTGTAAATTTTTTCAGATATATATTTTGCTTTTGCTGAAACACATAATTTCCTAAAAATTTTCGAATAATTTCTGACATATTCAATAAACTTTGGATCGGTCGAGGTACACTTTAGCTCATACAAATCATACAGCCTATTTCGACTTTTGTAGATGCCAGGTGTAGCCCAATCACTAAATTTCTTTTTTTGGTTAGTAAAGTTAATTGTTTTGAGTTTAAATGTTTTATCAAATTCTCCCTTTATCAAGTTAAAGAAATTATTACTTTTGGTAATAGGTCTACAAATTATATTGCATTTAGGAGAAACATGATGGTGCTCGAAAGTTGCTAGAACTCCGCTATGGTCAGATTGAATACAATTTATTATCGATTTTTTGAACACCTTACATTTACAAAAAATATTATCTAAGCAAGTAGCAGATGTGGGTGTAATGCGGGTAGGTTCATTAAAAATATTTTCTAAATTAAAACATTTAAACAAGTTCAAAAATCTACTTGATTTAGCACATTTTATTAAAATATCTATATTAAAATCACCACATATCACTACTTTCTTATCGACTTTGCAAATTAATTTAAATGCATCCTCCATAGCAGATTCAAATTGACAGTAGTCCCCATCAGGTGGTCTATATACACATATAATAATATACTGTTCAAGTTCCACACATGACAATTCAATATGTCGCTCAATTGAGAGGGATACTATATCTTTACGTTCTTTACATTTTAAATAATTACTTATTATTATTAAAGAACCCCCTCGTATGGCATTTATCCTACAGAATGAACTTATAATTTTATAATTTTTAAAACCCGTAATTAATTCATAATTTTTGAGCCAGTGCTCTGTAATACATATTATATCAATATTCATACTATTTAAACACATTTCTAATTCTAGATCTTTTCCAGACAAGCCTTGTATATTTTGGTGAACAATAGTTAAATAGGTAGACTTTTCCTTGGTCATCTTATTGCTAGAGATTTTCTCTATTGTCTTATTAAACAATTTAAATTATTTAAATTGTCAAAATTTAGTTTTGGAACATATTCCAAAGTCTGTTTGTTTAAGTCAAAATCATTCTGCTCAATAAAAGCAGTAGAGATAGCCAAATTATTGGCTAAATTTTTAAAATAAAAAACTAGCGAGGATGCTATTTGTCTCTTAAAATAGAAAGAAAGATAATATTTATCTCTTGTCAAATATAAATTAAAGATTAATTTGTTTATGTCAATTACATGTATTTTTTTATTATAATTAGCTATAGTATTTAATGTCATATTAAATTTATATCTAATATTATTTTCCTCCTGTGGCAAACTGTTGCTATAAGGTAATGTAAACATAATAATTTTATTTAAATTCAAGGAACTTAAGGTATTGAAGTAGTTACATAATTCTCTTTTATTTACATTACCTCTGTTTCCAATTAAAATAACTAAGTTTGTACGCTCGTCAATATTTAAAGTAAGCACTTTTTGCATTAGTTGATGCAATTCAATACCTGGCATACAATAATTAATAATGTTATTATCTCCCAACTGGTTATGTAATAATTGGCCCAAGTCTTTTCCAATTTCATCACATAATATAACCGTTTTTATACATTTTTTATTGTTAAAAGAGTTATTGTCACTTGTGCTTTGTGTATAATTAACAGAATTAGAGTATAAGGGCTCACATACTGATTGATTATTTTGCTTGTCCCTGGAATCCAGGCCTGACACCAAGGAGAAAGAATTCAATTGTGTACCCTCTGATATAGAGGTATTTGATAAGCATTTCAAGGCTAGTATGTATTCCCCTATCTCTTTTTTGGAGTGATTATAATTTTTAGTCATTTTTACTAATGAATTTTGCAGGTTATTTATTTTGCTATTTAACATGTTAATATTCTCTTCATAGGTTGTCCTATTTTCATCGATTATAGAACGGCAAGTTTCTAATTTCTCTATCAATTGTATGCGTTCCTTTGAGAATTTAGAATTTTTGTTAATTAATTTTTGTTTATGTAATAGTTTTTTTGTTTTATTAACATACCTATTTAGTTTTATATATTTTCTCAATCTATTCCTACTACACTTAACAACTCCTCTTTTTACAGAACACTCAATAAAATCTTCTGTAGTCAATCCAATTGTCACTGGGTTAATGTTAAGTGAGGCAGAAACGAGACTGGGGGCACAACCAACCAACTCATCATATAGACTCTGGTTCTGAGAGGCCATAACCTTTGTTTGCTCAGATTCCAGTTTATATATGCAATCGTTAGCCTCCTTTAGTTGCTGTTCCAATCCAGAAATGAGCCTAAGGGCCTTCTCATACTCACTTCTGCATTGGTCGAACCCTTCTATTACTAATTGTAATCTATCTTTCTCCTCAGTTATTATTAAATAATTACAATGCAATTCAGACAGTTCTTTTTTACATTGCTTATTCTTTTCTAGCACATCCAATAACTCTTTTTCATTGTCCTCCCTCTCCCTAAGTAATTGCTCAACCAACTCCTTGGTGGCCTTTAATTCCTGTAAAGTTATTTGAAATTTTGATTCCTCTTGACGAGCTAAGGCCTTGCGTGTCATCATTTTAGGTTAATAGAAAACTATTTAAAGTATAAAGCAATAGTCCAAGAAGTCGTTCGATCAACTAGTGTGAGGTTATCTGAAGGAAAACTCAACACTTTTTGGCTAAAAAGTAACTTAGCCTGTAAATATTATTCGTGATGCATTAGTAGACGAGAAAAGAAAAAAACAAAAGAAATCATACAAGAGGAACAACAACGATTAACAATTTTAAAAAGGGTGACGTCATTCACCGGTTGATACAGATTTGTACTTACGTAAAAACAAGTTTTATTACGATACACTGGTGTTCACAAAAACAATATTTATAATTCAATTACACAAATATTACGTGATTCTTTAGAAATTAGCCATAAGTAACATAAATATTAATAAAACAAAAACTAAAAAGTAAGAGATAACAATAACAGCTGTTTACGCTAGTGTTGCCACAGGGGAAAAATAATAATGATACTAGGTTTCCACATAATAAATAATTGATTTTTAATTGCAGGTATTAGTTCTATACCTAGAGCTGCGTCTGGAGCAGAACTCCCTAATGCTAGGGAAATCAGTCTGAGGTTCTTCCAAGATAGACAACTCATTGACCCAATATGGACTTTGGTCACTATGCAATGGGGTCAAATAATTACCCATGATATGTCTCTCACGGCTGGGGTGGCACAAACACGTAAGTTCCATTTAAATTGTTTTAATACGTTATAAATGAAAAAAGTATTCTCCAGAAATTAGTACTTATTTGCATTAATTTTTAACAACAATTGAAAAAGTTGCATACATATTTGTATAAATAAGTTACTGCAATGCCAACCAATGGTGGCAATGAAATTAAAACCCTTAATAAATATCGTTTCATACTCGTTTAATAAGAAAGAAGTCAAAATTATCCCATATATAAACATTATAATTTGAACGTACCAAGATAGTATTATCTTTTTCCTCAGTAACCGTATAAGTTTGTTATTAATTCAAGACAAACTCTCCAATCTCACGGTGGAATAAATACAACACTCGTAGTATTGTATTCTTATAGAGTTGCGTCAGATATTGTGTCTTTATTAAACAATGACGGTGTTAAGTAAGTCAATGTAATGAAGAGAATGTGGGTACTGATTGACATACAGAGATTATATTGAATTTAAAATGGAAAATCTGTAGTGTGATGTATTACTTAATAGATATAATTTATGAAAAATGCTTAAAAATACTTAAAGATACTATATAATGCTTAAAGATACTATAATTCCCACATTTGACCTTCTGGGAAAAGGTGTGACTGAAAATCAGCGTTGGGCAAGTGCATGCTCATGCTCAACATTAGCTGAGTCTCCACCGTTTGTCTCTGTAGTTTCCTTTTTTTTATATATATAATGTATTGTTTTTATAATCTGAGGCAATAAACCATTTATTATTATTATTATTAAAAAACCACTTTGTCCGTCGTACTCTGAGATGGGATTCGAACCCACGACCTTTCGCAATCCGGACGACTGCTCTAACTACTGAGCTACCCAGGATCTAACAGGACTGACGAACTCTTCATACACTTGTTACTTCTTTGCTACTACAGCGTACTCTCATCAATGTTCAAGCAATCTACCCAAACATTCAAGCATTAAACATTAAGAATATTTTCCAGTATAGCATTGTGATTGCAAAATTGATCAAATATAATACTTAATGGATATCTTAAAAATACACAGATAAAATAAATAAGATTTAAAATATCTATTATGATTATAAATAATAGTTTTCTAATAAACCTTACATTTATACTTCTGATATTTTCACGCGCACTATCCATAAATGAAACAACAATTGGTTCGTGTTCACACGGAATAAAATTAAATACAAACGCGATGAAACCGTTTAAAAATTGTTCCATTAAAACCTTTTATTGTATGTCTATATCCTAACGTTGTTGTTTGTATGTAAAAAAAAATATACTTCTATCGATTGCTGTTTTGTTTGATAGCGGAGAAATACAGAATTAGTTATGAATTAAATAAATCAATTAATGTCTTATGCACAAACGTTATGCAAAAATATTTATAATCATTAAGATGTCTACTGAAATTTTAAATGAAAATCTAAATGACAATGAGAAGAAAAAAAAAATATGTATGTGTATTAAAAATATACATTTTCGATAAAATTAAATATGAATTTTCAGGCAAAAATCATCAACCTGCTGGTAATTAAATCAACCGTATTATTTTTGATTGGGATAATAATAGAGCGTGTTATTTTTCGCGCAACGCAGATTATTAATTTGGTCTCCTTTATTCTATAAATCTTTCAGTTTTTTAAATGTACCATTAAAACAGGCACATTATTAATATAAAATATTTAACAAACGTGTTACTGTTTACTAAAATATAGACTAACTTAGTCTTATTACTGACTACAGCATAAAAAGGGAGTTAACTAAGTTTTATAACACAAAAATAATTATCAACTCAAAGTAGTTAATAGTAAGACTTAAATAAACATAAAACATTTTCCGGTGTAATCATTTATATTTAATATTATTGATGGATTTCTTTTTTGTATGTTTTTTTACTAATTATTATATGTATGGTTTATGCTTTGGTATATTTTGTTCAGTAACCAAACGTAATTTTTCAGTATTTATTTTTGTTCCATATATAACAGTTTAATTTCCATTTCATTTGGCAGTACGTAGTGTACTTACTATATTAAAAAACTAACTATCTAAATAAATATTTGTGTCCTAATAATGATTGCTTATATAACAAACGCTGAGATACTGTCGTGCGATGATAATCAGCATATTATTTGACAGCATCATAATAACATAATAAAAATTCTAGTCCAGAAAAAAGTAAGTTCAGTAAGTAGGCAAGTTTAAATATGTTCATTAAACAAAGAGCTTTCTTTGTCCGAGGCTTTTCTGAATGTTAACTCAGGAGTATTTTTAATCAGAGCTACGAATTCTTAGATTGAAAAATTAAAACTATACATTCAAAATGATTGTTTCAGTTTGTACTACAAACTAGTGTTTAGATTTTAAGAACATGTGTGAGAATATATACTGGTGTTCAAATTATGAATTCAGAGAAGCATTCCGCTTGCACTATCCTTACTCAAACTTTCATTAAGTTTAATGATTATTAAGTTCATCGTTAGCTCTAACAATTGTTCTAAAACTTGCATCGAATATAATAATGCCGCTTTAAACTAATGCCTAGATGTTGATGTATCAGAGAAGCGGTACTAAATGATTTCTTATTTTCTAGACAAGGACTTAGTGACGTGTTGTAATGACAACGGACAGTTGGCACCAAACGCAGCTAGCAATCCTACTTGTGCACCAATTTTGATACCACCCAATGATCCAGTACATGCACCGCAACGTACTCAGTGCATGAATTTCGTGAGGACCACTACCACTCTTGCTAGAGGATGTTCACCGCCAAATGTACCCGCTGAACCGGTAATTTAGTGATAGTTGTTAATGTGTTTAGGTAGCTAAGAGATTCATCATCAACAGCCCTTTTACGTCCCCACTGCAGGAGCTCAGGCCTTCCTTATGGATGGTTAAGGACAACGGGCCATGACTCTCTACGCTGGCCCAATGCGAATTAGAGGGTATTAACGTCTGTAAATCCAGCCGGGACCAACGGCTTAACGTGCCTTCCGAAGCACGGAGTAGCTCGAGATGATAATTTTTGGTCACCCATCCCGTGACCGAACCTTACGAAAGCTGCTTAACAACAACGATCTCTTAGCTAGCAAGGGTATTTTTACCAACGCTTGTTACATTAAAAATGGGTGTGGGGTGCGACCACCTAACTGTCTAGCCATTGATACGACATCTTCGGGTTGTTGTGGCTTTATATACTTTCATTTATTATTTTGACATGTCTGTTGGTTGATAAAGACATATGTGACCAAGTTTCTGTTACCAGATTTCAAATCCATAATCACCATTCTTTTTATCATTCGAACGTCGTTATTAAAGTCCAAGTTGTAAAACGAAGCGAAATATCGTCGTGAAAACCCTAAAAAGTCCTCTCTTATAGCTTAATCATGGTGAGAGAGTTTGGTGGTCACACTATTGGTAATTGTTATCAACTATCAAAGGAAAAACAAACCTTAACTTCCAAGTTTATCAAAACCACATAAATTGTAAAAATTAGTTCGTCCATCACTTTTTGAACTACTGGCATAACACAGTTTGTTTTTCAGTATTGAAATAAAAAAAAACAATATTTTGAGGGTAGTTTAAACATGTACTCATCTTTTCATAGATAACGACTGTAACAGCTTTTATGGACATGTCACTCGTGTACGGCAGTACTGTTGCACAGGCAACGCCCATCAGAGCCTTCCAAGGTGGTCGTCTTCTGACCCTACGACGAGGAGGTCGCGAATGGCCACCACAAGACCCAAATATCACTCTCACTTGCGAGTCAGCACAGTCACCCAATGAACCTTGTTACTTAGCCGGTAAGATATAAATTTACGTATCTGAAAGAATAGGTTTTAAATGGTTGGGTTGAGTATGACGTCAACTGAAGTCAGTAAAAGCCATTGATTTATTTTTATAATAAATTTATTAAACTTAATCACATAGTTTGTATTTTATGTAATAGAGTAGGTATTAATAGAAGAACATAAAAAAGGCTATGCCATCATTTTCGAACGTTAATTTATAGTTATCCCTTGAGGTCTATTTAAAAAATCGCCGGTACGTTACAAATTATATTGTATTATTTGCACTCTCTTAGGGGTTAAAATTCTTCAAACGCCGATACAGGTATTTACTGAATTTTAGTTTGTGGTCTTAAAATAAAGTTTCATGTTTCTTATATCTAAAATGACGAAATTTCATACAAACTTATCCTCCTTTAAAGTAATTTCAAAAAATACTTGCCTATTTATCTAGATTGTAACCAAAAGCATTTTGCAAATTCAATTTTTATTCCTAGGTAGATATTAAAGTCACTTTACCTCACTTTTTCTCAAATACAACAGTCTTACTCGCCTAGCAATATGTCTAAAGCACCTGAGATACTATATTTTGAAAGAATTTTCTAATACATTGTACTATTATCATATATACTTTATATTATTCTGTTTCTGTTTACAAATAATTTCATAGCAAAAAAATAGGATAATATGATCGTGTAGTATACGCCGCTAACGTATCATATAATCAAAGGAAATTCCTAGTAAACAAAACTAAACACGAGTAAACTATAATATATATTTTCAGTTAGCTGAAACTCCAATGTTAAGTATAAAGGTTTTAGGATGAGTCAAATACGTGGAAAGACCGATCGTAATCGCTTTAACCAAAAAGCAGATTTCGATAAATTGCTTCCCTTTCTAAATAGAATGCTTGAAAGAGTTCCATATGTTTATTATATTAAAAAAGAAACCCTTTGTTTTCATAACTAATAAAATATCTGTCTTTCAATTAGTTGTTTGTTTATTTTATTATGCTATATTTTCACTCTGCAATTTCTTTTTCCATAAGATTGGGGTTAGATTTCATCTAAAACATATTTGAGTGTAATCCTTATTATTGTAGTACATAAATTATTACTACCCATCTTTTTAATGTAACTGTCCAGTCTAACTTTTGGTTGCCTGGAAGATATTGCTTTTTAGCGATAAGGCCGCCAATTGTACTGTTTATTGTTATTAATTTGTTATGTTGATTTTATTTTCAAGTACAATAAAGTGTTCATTCATTCATTCATTCATAAATTAATTTTAAAATATGACCCTTGTGAAACAGTTAAAGGCGTAATTCCGTTCAAGTGCTCTCATTAGCAGGGTTTAAGTCATAGTACTGGTATATTATTGGATACATATGTAATAAACATTAGCAATTCAGCTCAAATACTCTAAATAAATATTAATGTCCTTAGTTCTTTTCATTTCTTTCTCTACTTACAGGAGATATCCGTGTAAATCAGAGTCCTCAGCTTGCTGTCCTACAAGTTATGTTGATGCGTGAACACAATCGTATAGCAGACATCTTGGCGAGCCTCAATCCCCAATGGAATGATGAAACCATTTACCAGGAAGCTCGGCGCATACTTATTGCCGAATGCCAAAAAATCAACTATTATGAATATTTACCTATTTTGTTGGGTAAGTTCTGGAAAAATATTATAAATGCCGTCATTATAAGTTCTATTACTTGAAAAGTATCTATTATTTCTATAAGAAGTATATAAAAATGCATGCGATTGATAGAATGCTATTGCTTATTTCAATCAGCGCTTATTTACCTAGGTATTTTCATCAGACAAAGATAATAGTTTCTGCTTGAAAGATATATTTTTGAAGATATTTTCCTTTCAGCTGATAAACTAGATAGTTATTGATTTTATCGTTAAAATGATCTTTTATATCTATAGTCTATTTATATGGTACATACTGCGCGATGGAATATTATTAAATTAAATTATTCAAATATATTTTTCTTTGCAGGTTTCGAAAACATGGTAAAAAATAAACTCCTCTATCCTGGTGTACATGGTTATGTCAATGATTACAACCCAAATGTAGACCCTTCAGTATTAGACGAGCATGCTACTGCTGCTTTCAGACACTTCCACACTCTTATCAGGGGCTTCTTGAAGTAAGTGAATCTTAAATACCTCTCTGATGTATATCTTACATAATAGACAGAACCATATGGACAGGTTATGTTGTAACATACTGACAATAGATGCAGCTGGCTCTAACACAAAGTCGAAAGACGAGATTTATAATATATTAAGATGCCCATTTAATGATCGTATAAATCGTGCGGTGCTGCAGTTTCTCCAAAGATGCCAAATGGACTACAGGTACATCGAAGTGATAAAGTGTCTATACAAGAATGCCACTATATCGATCCTATTACAGAGTTAGAACTCAAATCCAATCCAATTGCAGTGAGGCATGCGACAGGGAGACGTTTTTCTCCGAAATGTCACTGCTGTGTTAGAGGATATTTTCAAGCTTTTGGACTGGAAAGGACAAGGCATCAACATTAATGGCGAATATCTTACACACCTTCGCTTTGCCACAGATGTAGTCTTAATGACTGATACCTTGAAGGACCTGAACACCGTGTTAGAAGAGCTCAGTAGTGCATCCCAAAAAATGGGTCTTAAGTTGATCATAAACAAGATGAAAATTATATAAAATATCCATGTTGTACACACTCCAGATAAAATGGGGAACACTAAACTTGAAGATGTCAATAATTATGACTGTCTCAGTGCATCGCCTTCAAGGAGAGAGCCATCATTAGGTTTTAGTGGGTATGCCCCTGCTTTTTGACCAGCCCTTTTTATGGGGGGCGGATCCACAAAGAAGAGACCCATATAACCCGCAGACTCCGTGATGACGAGAACGGGTATGCACAACGTTAAAAAAGTACAGACGGTCCAGCTAGATAAGTACAAATTCGAGAAAGAGATCTTTCGTCGAATCCGGCAACGTTCGGGAAGCTACGAAAAGCTTCGCGTTCAAATTACCTCAGTGCCTCAAAAGAAAGGCTTTGACCAGTGTATGTTACCAGATGACTCAAGAAGGACGCAAGACGTGGTCGTTCAATATAGGTCTTATAAGAAGGCTCAAGGTCACTCAGCGGGCAATGGAAAGAGCAATGCTTAGAGTTTCTCTACGAAATTGTATTAGGCACGAAGAAATCCATAGGAGATCTAACGTTATTGATATTGCTTAGCTAAAGTGGCAGTGGGTGGGACACATAGCTGGAAGCTTAGGGGGAATGTGGGGTGGAAAGGTTCTAGAATGGCGACCGCGTTCCGGACGACGCTCAATAGGTAGGCCACCCACAAAGTGGACCGACGATCTTATAAAGTTGCGGAAAATCGCTGGATCCGAGTAGTGCAGGACCGATTTTCGTGGAGATAATGAGGGAGGCCTATGCTCAGCAGTGGGCGACATATGGCTGTTGATGATGACAATCGTCCTTTGTGGAGGCTGCTTTTAAAACTAAACTTGCGATTGAGCCGTCAAAAAATGTTTAATAAAATTGTTTGGTACTTATTCGTTATTGTGATTCTAATGTCTTTATTTATTATTATTTTCTTACAGACTGTTTACAGAAGTCAGGTCACTCTTAGGAACTATTCGTCTCAGTGATTGGTTCAACCGACCACTTATACTCGAAATTAATACTGCTTTTGACGATCTGGCTAGAGGTTTCACTGTTCAAGCGCAAGATTACAGTGACCAGTGGTGGGATAGTGAAATCACACAGTTCCTTTTCAAGTAAGTGTTGTAAGAGTTTCTTTATACTTTAACTATTTACCTGTTCCCAAATGCATATTTTTTGTATGCTACCCCTTACCACGTCATATCGAACACTGTATGTAAACCATTCAGGATTTATTATTTATTTACCAAAGTCTACATTTATATATTGTACAAAAAAAAGAAGATTTAACTTTTTGGGATAATAGTCATGGTGCACCACTTACACGAGTGTTTCAAACTTGACTTAAAACCTGACCTTCTAATTACATTCATTTAAGTTGCATTATACTCATCCAAATCGAGCACCCTTAAAGCCTAAATCAGTGGCGGCCATAGTTATCGAAACATCTAATAGTTGTTTTATTGTTATGATTTGTGTTACCATTGTTCTGCCATTAAAATAAGGGGAGTGTTTGTATACTAAATGTATGTATATAAACGCGTGTGTTTATCTTGCGCTATATTTGTATACGTAAAATAGGCCTTGCAATTCAAATAATAAAACTTTGACGGTGGAACGCTCCGTCTTTAAAAAGATCAGCGCATATTACGCAACACTTATATAGTGCAAACATTGGATTTCATACAAGAGAAATAATTATTATTTAGATAAAAGTGTAATACAAATGTGTAACGTCAAAGTTTGTACTTTCGTTTAAATATATTATTTTGAGAATAGTGCAAGTTAAGCTTATGGTGATATCATGATGAAGGTAGGAAACTTATACTGGCATATCGTAAACTAGCTGTTATTCACTTCGTCTGCATGTTCAAAGGGAATATATGTTAACCGTAGCAAACGTGCCTCTAGCCTTTCAAAATAAAAATAAAGATATCATCACGACGCCTATTGAGATGGTGCGTAAAGAACGTGTAAGAACGTAAAAGACTAACAAGTAACCAAAGTTTCCCACATATAGTATTAGAATTAATGTAGTGGTCCCATTTTAATCATTAGGAATTTCAAGATGTTCTAATCAACGTGTAAGTCATAATAAATATATATTACTTTTCCGTGTACGGTCTTCTAAATGTTTTATTATGGCAAAGCTAATACCGTAGACAATTTTGATGTGCTAAAGTTTACTTCCTCATAACTTACTAAATGGCCAAACAAGGTCGCAATCTTAAAGTGGCCAAGACCGTGTCATGAACTTTAGGAGTTACTGAAACTGCGTCAATTTTGTGTGGATTGTATTATAATAATGTAGTCTAACCCTTGATACTATTAAAGTAGTAGTATTAATATCCGCGGGAAGGAGCGCTGGTGACCTGTGTAACGGGTCTTGTAAAAAAGACCTATTTCAGACACCAGCTCTTCACAATACGGATATATACATAAAATTTATAATTTCTTTATTGTTCTAAGAAAACTATTGTGAAGAGTAAATAAAATAAATAAATAAATAAATAATAAATAATACACTACTGTGTTATCATAGTAATTATTTCCGATACTCGTTTTAGTCACTTCAGGAGTCAACAATATATGTTTAATATTTTAATATTCCCTTTGTAAACGGTGACCTCTTTGGCCATATACGCTGACTACGACTCTCCCGCGAATTATTTGCTTAATTTTAACGATGTGATACTGACACGGAAATAATAAAATTTTCAGATGGGAATCTTAATAAAGCTCCAAATACGCGTAATATATTTATTAACGGAAATTATTAATTTATTCGAAAAAGCGTTTATTGACTGAAAATATATTACTATTGGACATTAATCTCTGAGATAAAGCAAAATATTAATTTTACAAAAATTACACCTATTTTACTATAAATATTAACACATATTACGTACATTGCTAAGATTCCAAGATGAGTAGCTAAAGCTTGTTATGGAATAACAAAGAACAAGAACACCCAAATTTGCAATTTCACGCTTACTATGGAAAGTCTATTATTAAAGGTTATACTGTAATTATGCGTTGCCGTAAAAAAAAATATACTCGTAATTGCGTCAGAACTGATATCATCTTTTCATATATCAAACGTTGCAATTATATCGTCGGCCCAGTGGTAAACTATTCAATCTGCAATTTTGGCAGTTTTGAGTTAAATATGCCAAAACATTGTAGATATATTAATCTACAATGTGGCAAAATCCTATATCTTTAAGTTTAATGGTTACCGAGATAAATGTTGTTTAAAAGTGCTTATCTGCCAAATGTAAAATTAGTGCATAAGTAAACTAATCAATGTGAAAAAATGTTCAGTTTACCAAAACCAAAACTGTTACTTGTTAAAATGGCAGATTAATCAGTTTACCTTGGTGAAAAGAATCACTTTGGCTAGTTTTCAATCAAAATTGTATGTTGTACACAATACGCCACCGTAGTCCACTCAAGTATCTACCTCTCTTTGCTTACTTGAATACAGTGAAATTATTTTACTTGTCTCATTCTGACCACGGTAAACAAGTTAATCTGCTTTAATTACGTAAATAACGTAAAAATTATAATTTTATTTATATTTACCTAAAGTAAAATTATATTTACCCATAAAATTAAAAAAATGTAAAGATAGTTGTTTAACCTGATTTACAGCATCAATTTTTGACTTGTTTTTGCTCTCCTGAAAAGTTAGACTTTTGCAGATTGCATACTACTGGACTGATGATATTTAGAACACCTTGTGCATTTCGGCTTTAAAAAGTCAAAATTAAAAGTTTATTCGCCAACTGGATTATCTTTTTGATCTTGTATTATATTTACTACTACGATACGATAATATACGACATCTAAGCGATGTTATGAAGATATTTCATGTTCCTACTTTGACATGTCGTTTGGTGGATAAATTTGGGATAAATGATTTAGTTGATATCACTGCTTTCAAATCTAAAATAATCATTTTTTATCGTTCGTCGATATGAAAGTAAAATTAAACGAAATATCGGCATAAAATCGATTAGATGTCGTACCTTATGTCTAGAATCATGGCTAGAGTTAGGTGGTCGTACCCCTGGTGAAAAATTCATTACTCTAATTTGCACGAATTAATGGTGCTAATTTATATTTTGGTATGTATGCTCGATTGTGTATAAAACTGATTTTACATATGATTATTTGCTAAAAGAAAATATATGTATTTATATGAGAAACAATTTTGTCTGCTCATTTAGTATATACCTTTATATAGATACCATAGCGCAACCATCTACACAGGCTTTGCCAGAATAACCAGCCCCGTATCAGGGTATTCTAGACCATACCAGGCTTATGCTTAGACAGTCTTGATTTCATCACACCACTCTTTAATAAATGTATATCTATATTTTAAATCATTGTTGTATTTATGTGGTCAATAAATGTATTTTCTTTCTTTCTGATATTCTATATTAAAACGATGTTTCCGGAAACGCAATCAAATACTTTCTCGGTCCGAAATTAAAGACCCGCACCCCTTTATCTAAAATGAGATGACAGTTCGAGAATTAATGGTTGTTCTGTTTTCATAATTATTTCTGGAAGGGCTAAATAAAATACGCTTGAAGTTTTACTTTTGATATAATTCGTAATGTACGATCACTTTTCCTTCTATTTTTTTACTTTAGCAAAAGTGTTTTTTTTTTTGTAATTAACGTCAGAGAAATATTAGTTTGTTATACAGCGTATATAAGTATTCGAGTGTGTACATAAATATTTATACTAGATCTGGCTATGTACAAATTAATCTAATCTAATATTATAAAGAGCAAAAATATGACTGCTTGTTTGCATTAAATATGTTTGGAAACTACATACTGGACCGATTTTTTAAATTCTCTCACCTACGGGAAGGCTTTTATACGCGGATGACATAGGCTATATTTTACGCGAGCGAAGTTGCTGTAAACAGCTAAGAAATAAATATGCAATCAAAGCTTTCCTCTTTATAAAATAAGTATAGATTATATCAAGCACAGAAAACCTAACTTTTTACTAATTATAGGGATCTACTTATGACTGACTGTCATGCATTAATTTGCACAGCTGTTTGTATGTGATTTTGAGTTTTAAATCTATTGTAGTGAACCCATATCAAAAATATTCAATTTAAAATCTTTTAGTGGTGTTTCAGTAGTTATAATTGTGTTCCTGTTAAGAAAATTTTTTTATATATTTATTATATTAATTAGCTTTACTAACTTATAATTTTGTTTTTTTTAGACGTAATAACACATTCGGAAGTGACTTACGTGCGATTGACATCCAGAGAGGCAGGGATCACGGTCTCGGGTCTTATATAGCAACTAGAGCCGCTTGTGGTTTACCAGTACCGAAATCTTTCCACGACTTATTGGACTTTATATCTCCAGAGGTAGGATATAAACTTAGGTGTTACTTATGGTTATATAATAATAATAAAATATGGTACTGTATACTTAAGCTTTTTCTAGTTCTTCGTGTGTTATAATAGCTTCTATAATAATTAGTATTGACCTTTCAAGAAACCTTTCTTGTGAAAAGCTGAAAATATCTACTGTCAACTATTTGGTCTTATCATAAGTAATTAACCAAATTAATTAATCAATAAAAGAAGACTCACTGCTGCATGATTCCTTTTTAAAGAGAAAATCATAAGATAAAGGACCCTGTTTTGGCTACTGTCCCCTTCTAGTCATTTGGCACGTCACGATCTTCTAACTAACGCATAGGCAAATTAAAGAAATACATTTGCCTATTCGCTATGAACAGTTTTTAAATGTTAAATTATGGTAAAACTAATAGCTAGTATAACTGCTATCAAGCAGTTATATTATCAAAGTTAAAACTAATTCTTAAAGTGGCCAAAACAAGTCGTAATCTTAAAATGTCCTAAATCGCATCATGTGCCCTACATATACTTACGGAATTGGATAAACTTGCTTAGTAGCTCTTGTGGACATATATGAAATTTCCAACAATATTACATATATAAAGAGTCGGTGCATATCTGACGGAATATGCGTCGCGTGTTGTCGCTTACGAAACGTAAGCTGTAAAAAATATACAATATGACATTCAACTTTGTACACTCGAAGTTGGTTAGACAATTGACGGATCTTTTGTCAGATTTATACTGACTAAAAATCTTAATAAACTTGACGCTGGCTAAACCATAGAAGAGCCAATAACGAAAAAACTCTTATTAAATAAAAATATTAATTAAAACTTTCCTCCGTAGAATGTGCAAGGCCTACAGAATACCTATCAGAGTATTTTGGACGTAGATCTGGTAGTGGCCGGATCTTTAGAACGGAACGTGCCTGGAGCATTAGCTGGACCTACTTTCCTGTGTATTCTCACCGAACAGTTCTATCGTACCAGAGTCGGTGACAGGTATTTCTTCGAGAACGGCGCCGACCAGGAAATCGCCTTTACACCAAGTGAGTAACTAAACTTTTCAGTTGTGATTTTTGTTTTCTATTTCTTCTTTAACCTACACATTAGGGATACATCTTCATTAAGGTCAGAGTCACATTGCGAGATTGGGTTTTGATCTACCACGCGGAAACAGGGTGGATGTGTGTTAGCTCATGCAGATGTGACCTGGACTAAAAATTTGTTTGTTGTTTCCCAAAGAATTTGAAATATAAAAATGGATTGATCACCCATCACGCAATCGTAGATCAAACGTGCTTAAGACTACGTCATAAGTCATATTACAATACTTAGCTTTCAAGCTAAGTCATATTGATTATGAATTATGACCTCGATATATAAACTATATAGGAGATATATAAACTATCGAAATACCATAAGCTATAAGATTAATTAATTTCAGTGTTTTATTAAGCGTAATATGGGCGGCAGTTCTGTATTTTCATCGTCACCAAAAAGTTAATAGCTTTATTATCCATCGCTTACACAAGTATGGAGTAGTTCACAGTAGCGAGAAGGTAAAGAATGGGTTAGCCAGTCATTTCCGTGATACAATACAGTTACGATGGTATACTGTTGATTTTGGGAACGAAGTGCGGATCTGTATGTATAACATTACAATAAAATAAATAAATGAAATCAGTATCACATACATCACATAATATATAAAAAGATTTTAGTAGCAAAAATAATAAAAAACTTTTTTCATTAAAATAGTAGGTACATTAACAAAAGCATTATTATTCCGTCAAACTGTATATCAGTTTATTGCCAGGCGGAGCACCCTCTGTTTGTATAAACTATTTGTTATGATGCCTACATTATACGGGTTCGATGGCTAAATGCCCGTAGGTGTTTTTTTTAAATAGGTCCAGTATTTTCGGAGCCTGTTCAATGCAAACATAAAAACAAACAAACGAATCTTTTCTTTTTATAATATAGTATAAGTTAACTGTCGTTAACTTCACTCTACCCACTTAGTATGGGAAATAATGAATCATTCAGTATTTAATAATTTTCTTTTTTTTTATTATTTCTCTCATGACAATTTTTCTTGGACTTCAAAGAATATTAACAGCTGAATTGTTTCATCTTTTCCTGAGTTTTGCGCTTAATAATAAATGTAGCGATTCATTTTACAAATATGCTACTCGTACATCTATATGAAATCCCTTTAATCAGCAACATCCAAAAATAATGAGTAACAAAGCGTAATAATACAATAATTTTGCATTCGTTTTCACAGGTTTACGACTGTGTATTTCTCATGGACCTTTATTTAAATGAAATCGTATAGTCCTTTATACATACATATGAAATCCCAGAGGGTTCTCTTACACTAACTAATTGTAACGGTTTACCTGAAATATAAGTAGAATACGTATTTTATTAGGATCACTGGTAAATAAAAGCTCTTTGGATAGTGTTCCATGGTTTTACACAGACACGGAAAAAGACTTTAAACCGATTTAATAAGAGTGAAAATTGATTAAAATTACTGCAGTGTAGTATGAGGCAGTACAGGATTAAAGCTATTAATCTAGCCTTCGCCAAAATGTGTGCTTGTAGGTTAGGGGACTAAGTTTAATGGTAGTAATGAGCACCGGCGGGGGTCGTTATTTCTCGTATGATATTTTAGTTACTAGATATAAAAATATTTTTAGTAGTTTTTGCTTGACATTTCATCTGTGCAGATTCCGAATATTTAATTTTTATTACTAACCTATTAATGTCTGTTACTACTTCCCTATGGATAGAATCGAATCGAATAGGGAGAATTGGCTATGACTGGACAACGCTGAGCGTTTGCGGGTTGGTGCTTGTTAATAACTGCAGATGCAGGCAGAGCTTGAAATCGGTTCAGAATAAATCGTTTTAATTTAAGTAAAACCTGTTCTCTTGTAATGTTCCTTCCCGGATCGGAACTGAATGCGGAGTGAAATTCGGATGGAATAAAAACCGGTTAATTCGCTTAGTTTAAAAAGAGTTATGTTCTTACGCTTTGAATATACTCGTATCATTTTTAAGTGACAACTTTTATTATACCTGTGCGGATGTTATGGATATGGGTATGCGCACTTAAAAACCGCGCCGAATTTTGTGAGAAACCGGTTAATAGAAAAAACCATATTTCTAATGAAACGGTTTAAACCGATATTTGAAACACGATAGATAAATAATAATGTGGAAGAGCTGCTCATATTTAATCAGTGCGTCCTAACTAGTCTACGGAAATAAAACGTGGGACATGTCAATAAAGGTGGTCACTTTCAGGAACGGACGAGAGGTTTCTCGGGTTTTTAAATGAAGATTACGTCACGGCTAATCGATTGCCGGACGTTCCTCAGTAAGATGGACTGTTGACCTGCAACAGACTGACATAATGAATATATAATCACGATATTTCATTACCATTTCACATATCAAATTCCTATTCCTATTAAGACTAACAGTAATCAATGGTAATGAGGTTTACAGATATTTTTAATTTGTATATTGTTTAGTACACATGTACTTGTTATGGCTATAATACTTACATCAAACACAACAATTAAATAAATATCTGAATACAAGAGATATTAGTACCTTTTTTAATAAGATTTGTTATTAGCCATTTCACAAACCGCTTGAGTTTTTCAGTTGACTGATATCCTCGACAAACTCGTGAACTGTGCTAATAAACATATAGTGGAAGCGTAATGAGAGAAAAGTGCACTGGAAAAAAGCGTGATTTATTTTAAGAAGTTCTTCGGTAAACGATAAATTGTCCAGCTGTAGTTTAACTATTATAGTATACTATAATTGAATTAAATTTTTAGAAATATGCTTAAATGTCTTCAAATCTGATAATAGAGACACGTCAGGTAATGAGATTTGAGGCTTTTATTTTGAAATATAATACCTTAGTTTCTAGTTGTAATAAATACTTTTCGCGAATTACCGATTTTAGAATCTACATTTAACTAAACGAAAATCGAACCAATTCCAAGTTTTTTCAACGATTTATAAATTTTTTATTACCGATTACCCAATTTGCACATTATTCACTCAAATAACATAAACATATAGCTCGTATAGCTAATGCTTTGAACTAGCCGGTCGACTCCCAGTGACTCTACCGGTTAACTAAATTCTTGATAAATCTGCCAGAATGATCATTTAAAAAACCAATCAGAATCGCTCTGTCCAATCTTAGATCAATCAATCATAATTTAAATGCATTTAGCCGATCAGGTAATAAAGTATAATTATAATTAATAGCTATCTTTGACAGTAAAAATAATGATACTGTAACGTTAATGTCTTCGGTTTAATGTTAGATCAACACAGTGATTAGATTGAACTTAAATACTTTTTCGTCTATTTGATTCAATAAATAAATAAATCATTCGATATAATCAATCATCAACATGTCGGAAACGCTACATTGTATGCACGCTATCGTTACGATATTATGTAGTATCACAATGAAAGTTTTCCTCAGTAAAAATTTCATTATAGACCAAAAAGTAACTCGATTTTTATATTGGTTTTCATTTGTTTATTTTGCTGAATCCCATTAGGTTTGACATTGCTGCTGTTATATAGTCCTATTGTCTAATTCTCTAGCTACGACTTTCCATAATTAGAAAAATGCTTTAGTATTTAATGATTTATCAATGAATATGTTTATATTTATTTAATGGTTTTGATTTTTTAGTTTTCTAAATAACAATAATATTATTTCCTAAGTCGACATTTAAATAATAAAACAAAAAAATATTGCGATCTGATATCTAATTTGCGAGAAATACTTGACAATTGAACAGATATAAACATACATAGATACATTCGCAAAAGAGTGCACACGTGTTTTAAAAGCTCATATAACATATATGAAATAGCCTTTCACCTATAAACAAGTCAAATAAACTACCTTCAATTTGAAGTCTGTTAAATATGACCTTAAGGTTGCCGCCCTAGACTCAGCATATTCAGCCTGCTGGTAAATTCTAACTGCAAGATTAACACGCAACTTCTTTGATATTAACAAATCAGGTTGATTTTGCCGTGTGATTTTTTTATTGGTCGTATAACGTATCTAGCCGAAGTTCACATCCAGCTAAATCGATTCCAGTCTCACCATTTTACGTGGTAACTCATAGGTTGTCTATCTTTGTCTCAAACTTCAACAAAACATGTCAGTTTCAGTTTCAAATTTAATGCAGGGTGTCTGTATACAGTCTCAATACTGCTGGTGATCGTTAATTAACGTTCGTCAAGCCCAATTACCGAGTTGTCAAATTTGACCGCTAGGAAGCTAACGAATATCGATAACTGGTACTCGTTAAAGCGTTATAGAACGATACATTCTACATGCATTTAACTGTAGAAACTTACAATAATTGTAAAATATGACCACTATGAATCGAATTTGGTTAAATTGCGATCGCAATATCTGTCGAGACTGTGAGATAAAGTGTAGAAACTAGCGATTGGCAGAGCATTGGTCTAAATTTGTACTATATTGTTTACAGGTCAGCTCGATTCAATTCGTGAAGGAGCATCCTTGGCGCGGTTGATTTGTGATAACACGGATGGCGTTCGAGCCATGCAGCTAAACGCTTTCCAGCGGGTCGGTAACAGGTAAGATAACAGTTTAAATTAATTTGAAAAGTTACGGCACTGGTTCGTAAAGTTACGCCAAGACAGGCTTAAGACTTGCCAGAAACTTAGGTTCTTCTCCTCATTGTGATAAGAACCGATAAGCTTTATAGTAAATACTTTCTAAACATAAAGTACATACTTTCTAAACGTAAATTATATCTTGTGTCACTCGTTTATAATCTAGCTTCCTATAGGTGATTTTTTTTTTAAATCGGTTCATTATTTTTGGAATCTATTTGATGCAAACAGTTATATATTTTTTATCATAATATTAGTCATCATCATTAGCCCTTTTATATCCTCATTACAGGGGCTCATTCCTTATGGATGGTTAGGAAGGATGGGACATTACCTTCCACTCTGGCCAATGCGGATTAGAGGGTATTAACGAGTGCAAATGCAGCCGGGACCAACAACTTAACGTGTCTTCCGAAGCACGGAATAGTCAAGATAACAATTTTTGGTCACCCATTCTGTGACCGTCCTTTGTGAAAGTCGCTTAACAACATCGATAGTGAGCCGTGGTGCTTATCCACTACGTCACTCTAAATATATTTTCAAATTTCGTTAAATTTTCTTTCAGCAATCCCTTAGTGAGCTGCGAGGAGTTACCGTCCATCGATCTCACACTATGGCAAGAAAATAATTATGAAAAAAAGTAATGACTAGATAGATTTCAAAACATCGTAAGAGCCGATTTACGCACTTCGAAATTGTGTTAATTTTGGTCAGTAAAAAATAACAAATTAATTATTAAAAAAATTAAAAACGAAAGTGCGCCAAATCGGTATCTTACCTGTAATTAAACACCAGGAATGCTATTGAAAGTTACCATGGATAATTTTAAAACACAATTATTTAAATGTCGACTTAATAAATATTTAATGAATGCTAACAAAATGTAAACAACGTATTAAACCAAACTTATCTAACTCGTCGATAAATCTATAGCCGACTGCATTTGTAAGAAATATAATTTAAATTTAAAAATATTTAATGATAGATTATTTTAATACATTCAGTGTTTCTTTATGTTACATCAATACAAGCATGATCAGTAATAATCTCAACATTTAAAAAAAAACAACAATACCAAAATTATCTTATAAAATTAAATCTGTTTAAAAGTTACATACGCAAAAAATACTTTTTATTAGTCAAATCAGATTATAAATCAATGTAAACAAAATAGAACACTGAAATAATTTATCAGTCTGCTATTTATTATTTTCAAGCTGCGCATGCGTTAATTTCCAATAGAAAGTTGCTTTAGATCGTTTTTTAATTAACATTTCAAAACTGTACGAGGAAAACCTTTCTTTTTTGTAAATTAATATTTTCCTTTAATAAGTTTACTAATTCTATCATTCTTCTATGATTTTTTTAAATAAACAACTTTAATGTATTTTTATGAAGTAACTTTTAAATTATATTTTATTTTTACACAATTTCTGTTACTTAAAGAGAGTTCAAAATTAAGTGAAATGAATGTTTCGGGGGGGCATATTGTAACAGTGTTGTATAAAGATATGCAAGGAAGCTACTTAAAGTTAAGATTAAAAAGACTTCTCAAAAATTTCAAAAGATGACATTTTATAAGAATCTTTATACAAAGAATATGTCAAGAACAACTAAGTGTTTATGTAACAAACAAATTAATAAGAAATACAAATGTTTGATTCTGTATTATAAAAACTTTATAATTTGTCCAGCACTAGTCTAAATTCTATGAGAGTCAACTTATAAGCAATTACTGTGAATTAAAACAATTGCTTATTAATTATCAAAAATTAAAAATATTTAATGAGAAAGTTTACTATTTAATACTTAGCTAAATATAACTTTTAAACATCATACATAAAGTCTGTTATAAATATGTTACAGTTACTGTAGACTCTTGTTACAAATTGCCCCACCGTACAGTTAATGACAAAGTTATTTTTAACTACGGTAAACTTAATTATTTTTAGTAAGTTGTGTCTTCCAAATACCATGAGATAAATAGTAATCTATTTTCAAAATGTTCGCTTAAATTAATTAAATTTTTCTGTCAGTAAATAAGAAGCAATTAAAACGGTGCCAAAATAAAACGTAAAAGACAAATTTTTTTTTTCAAAAATTTGGCAGAAACGGAGCGCGTTCACCAAACCACTGGATTCGACGTCTGGTGGATCTCTGGCGGGGCTTTTGGAATAATGTGTCTAGCATCAATTTATCAATCGAAAATACAAATGAAATTCGATATTCTAGATGATATTTGATTATTTTTATTACAAAATTAGTCCCCCTGTCATAAGTATGTTGGTTGTGATAAAAGTTGTAAGAATTTGTGGACAATGTAAATAAATATTTAAATTAAAAATGTTCCGTTTTATCGTTATTAAGTGTCATGTTAAACATAAGTTAATAAATGAGAAAATTTTACTTTTGTTTTTTTATTTATTTAATCTTTGGAATAATTTCAAGGCAGAATCAGACAACAGTTTATCACAAATACTGTGGGCTAAGTACACCATAATAAATTTTCCTACAAAAAAAAAATGTATGAATGAATAAATTATCTAATTACAGAGAATGACGTTTTCTGATTTTGGATAAATATTTGAATGGATTAAAGATAAATTTGAATGGATTGAATGAAGTATTTAAATGGATTAAAGATAAATTATAAAAGAGTAAATACGCGTGTGTTCATGTTCATAAGTTTTCAGACAAACTATTTACTAAAATTAAAATTAAATGTGCCTGGCTGTTATTTTTATTTACCGATTTTGAACGAAACTATTACGTGCAACTGAAAAAAACCGATGCTGATTTTCCGCAAGCTGAAAAGTCTTCCTGTAAGCCATAATTTCGTCTATTATACAATACAGCGGCACAAAGAGACAAGTTCTCTGCAAGATCGCCAAAGGAGTGGTCGGCCACGCTTTGTGAGGACGCCTGCGAATATATAAATCATCAGAGAGCGACTTCGCCAAAATCCATGTCGCACTGGGAAGCAACTTGCTCTGCAGACTAATATTTCGCGCGTCTCAGTGAATACTGAAATATGATTACAAGTTAAGGTAAGGGGCCTAGAGCCGTAGAAAAGTTCACTTTTCAAACGATCGTCTTCGTAAGTTACATGATGAGGAGACATGATGGCAGGAAGATACACTACAGCGATGAGAAATTACTACCGAAGAAAAGTTTAACAGACAAAATAATAAAATGTACGCTAAAAGTAGCAAGGATGTCCCAGCTTCTGCACGGAATGTCTCGCGCACTCATCATTCGGCTAGTGTGATGGTATGGTGGGGAGTTTCGTATGAAGGTGTCATTCCGCTCCATTTCTGCCAACAAGATGTCAAGTTTAGAGCCAAGAATGATCAGAGTGACATTTTAGAGCTCTTAGTGAAACCCCTGTCTGATAAGTTATTTAACAATAAGGATTAGGTCTTTCAGTAAGACTCGGCGTCATCCCATAAGGCAAAAAGCAGCCAAGCTTGGTTGAGGGAGAATGTGCCGGCCTTCATCGCTGCGGACGAGTAGCCCTCATCCAGCCTCGACTTCAACACGCTGGATTATTCTTTATGAACTGAATTCGAGTTCAGGACTGAAAATACCACCCAAACTTGGAGTCACTGAAGCGAACCCTTGTTCGAGAAGCAAAACGAATTCCGCTAGAAGAGATTCGTACCACTATTCACTAGCCAAATTTTCTAAGGACCTGTATTAAAAACAAGGGCGGACATTTTGAATAAAATATATATTTTATTGTTGATTATTATCTATTTAATGGTTAGTAACAATTAAAAAAATAAGTTAATTAATAAAAAAGTTACGCAACTTTTATTTCTTTTCAAAACTTATGAACACACGAGGTAGAAGAAGGCTACATTACTGTTAGACCTGAGGCTATATGGAAGAGTTCTTATTCCACTTTTATCTCAACGGAAAACAAATCCTCATCTCAGAGTCTTCAGTGACGGCGACACATTGAAAGCTGCATACGAGCCATTTCATCACTGAGGATGGAAAATACTTCTCTCGTTCAAAGTATGAAGTGGTATAATTAACTCAATACTTTATATTATTATATTACATTTGATCAATTTAAAATGCTATATTGAAGAATATTCTTAATGAAAAATGTTTAAAAAACTTTATATTATATTGATATTTTTTATTTAAAACAGAATATACTTTAGTCGTGAAGAAAGCATTTGGAATATAATTCCTTTTGTTTTGGAAGACAGATTGTTCGCAACGTTGGGAAGTAAAGGAAAGTATTAACTCAATTTGTAATGCGGCAACTCTCTCTATTTCTTCTTATAAAATTGAAAATGAAGTAACATTCAAAGGTATAATCATAAATATTATTTGCATAAAACTTTGATCGAAATGAAAAATGGGTGCGAGAAAGTTATTTGACATATCAATATTTATTTTCTAACCAATAGTTTCTTCTGAGTCAATTTAAATTTTAACTATATTCTTTTTCAATCTATGATGACCTAATGAGTATAGGAAATCTTCCATTCTTCCCCTCTGAACGTTGCTCACAACAATCAGTTTCATTTGTTCATTTTCACCAAATAATCTGCCAACTTTGTAAGTTTTGTGAACCACGTTTCTTTTCTCAATTAATTAATTTCCATTCCAGTACCCATTTTTACTTTTGTCAGGCCATTGTCGCAATAAATTAGGTCACCATTCCACCTTCATTATTTACTTTGATTTCGCTTCTGCAATATCGGTCAGACGTATTCTCTTCCAGATTTCAGTGTTTCAAATCGGTGCATAACTCTTTATGCGATTTATGACTATTAAACTTGGTGAACGTCCAATTTTCAGTATTTTTCAGTCACTGAGAAGGTCACACTGTTCAAACATACGACGTGTGAGTTCATTGGAATATTTCAAGTCACAATAAATTCCGAAATCTTTTGTTGCTTTTGTAAACTATGTTATTCAATAAAAACAAAGGCAAGGTATTGATGGAGTGAATTTCTTAGAATTATATCATTTTATAACAAGTAATGTCTGTTATTTCTTTTTTGTTGTCTCCTTAGTTGTCCCAATATAATTAAAATAGATTGATTATTTTTCTTCAAAAGAAAAGAGGTCTGGTATTAAAAAAAATGAAAGAAATAGAGCCAAATATTTTGTTTCTTTTCTATTATTATATTTAAAGCCCTCTTTATTAAAACAAATGCGTATTCTCAAAGTTTTGTTGACCTGTTCATGTTACATTTTTGAAATATTTCAAATATAATGAAGATATGGTTCATACCATAATATGGTTTTATTATTTGTTCCCAGAATCTGTTATGTCTATTCTTTTAAACACAACTACAGAAGTAATGTTGTTTTTTATAAGTGATTGATGACTCTACATGATAATTTTTTTTTTTTGAAAATTTATATACCTATATACAAAATATCAAATAATTGCAATGAATTTTAATCAAAACTGTCAAAAAATTTCCATCTTAATTCTATATGAACATTAAAATTATTTTTGGAACGCTTAATATCGGTATCTATTAATTGATTTGGTACCTAATGACATACATACGTTTTATATAAATGACTCAACAGGGTAATACTTAAAGAAAAATCGAAAGATTATTCTTTACACTAAGACAAATATACCAAACAATAACGGTTAAGTATATTA